GATCCCTTGGGCTTCTTCCCCGAAGCCCCAGTCACATGCCCCTCCTCCGCCTTCCTCTTCCTAATGTGCTCTAAGTCAATTTCCCTCTCCCTTGCCCTGGCAATCATGGAATCCAGGGTCGGGCATGCCGAGAAGCTGATATGCTCTCGGATGTCGTCTCTCAACATGTCATGGTAGCGGTTCCTCCGCATCTCCTCGTCCTCCGCATACTGGGGCACCAGCAATGCCCTCTCCCGGAATTTGGCGGTGATCTCCACCACTGACTCAGTCATCTGCCTCATGTCAAGGAACTCCGAACTCCCTGGCCAGCTGCTGAAGCTCCACAACCGGTGCAAACTCCGCCCTAAACCTGGTCACAAAGTCAGACCAAGTCATAGCCTTAATGGCTGAGGCTTCCAAGGAATCACCAATAGACTCCCACCAGTCTCTAGCTCGGTCCCTCAAGCATCCCGCGAAATAAGGAACCTTCGACCCCTCAGGGTAGAAGCTCGTCAGCTGTGCAGACTCCATGTCTACAATCCATCGTCTAGCAGCAATGGGGTCCTTCACCCCATGGAAATCTGGCGCGCCACTACCCCTGAAGTCCTTGAAGGACGGTGTGCGTGATCATGTCTTGCTGAGTACCATGTCGCTCCTGAACGCCCTGAGGCGATCCTCCATTAGCTCTATGATCCCCTCCTTGATCGACCCGAAAATTATCGGGGTCGACTCAAGGATGCCTCTAGTGATCTCAGAAGCAATGAACTCACTTAGTCCCTCATCAACTAGCTCGGCACCTGATCCCGAATCTGATCCTGACCCTGAACCTCCTCCTCCATGACGTGTGATCATCACCATTCTGAAACATAACAACATATCGTCAGAATCATACATAACCCTAGGGAAGACTCATACACCCTACAGTTCCCTGATTCCATCTTAGCCCTCCTTGACTCGAGTACGGATCCTCTGCTTTCAGTAGTACGGGCCCATACTACCTTCCACATCTATCCGTACTTTCCTCAAGGATTGCTTCGACTTCACCAAGTCCCTTCGACTACTGCTGCACTCTTTGCTAGACTCATTCTAGGTTCACCCTAGGGTAGCTCTCCGACCTACTCTCCGCCATCAGCTGCATAAGGAACCCCTGCTACCTTTACCTAACTAGTTGGCGAATACCATTACATATTACTAAGACCAAATAATTCCTTGAATGAAAGGTCCTAACCCACTACGGTTGGACTCAAACAAGATCTACGCAGTAGGGCCAGACCTAATCCTTCGAAATTACTTCATCCTCGCAATATGTAACTTAACATATTCGTTTACTGGTTAGTTAAAGATAACTAGAACTCCCGAAGCACAAAGCAACAGCATTCGGGCATTGAGTAACACAATCCGACATACTCTATCCAAGCTATCATATAACTGGCTAATCAAGTATTATCTTGAAGCTCAATAAACACATATAGCAGGCATATCAGGCATCTTCCTAGATCCTCTAGCCCTATTCTAGCATGCAATCCTCATACATATACAGCAGGCATATAAGGCATCCTTCCTAGACCCTTAGCCCTAATCTAGCATGCAGTTTTCATAATCATATCATATCATAACCTAACATGCATGGGTATCTTGGGGAAAACTTACTTGAGCTCGGCCGGTCGCGCACATCACACATCTTGTTCTTTTTCAAAGTTCTTTCCTCTTTTCAACTTCTTTTCATAAAATGTTTTTCCTTAAAAAAAATTCATACCAAGTCCTCAGTTTGAGTTCAGACACACCCGTGAGTGTATCTGAATCCCTCAAAATAAGGCTCTGATACCAAATTGTAACACCCCGATTTTCAAGACTAAAAATTTCGTTTTTAATTAAGTAAATTATAAAATCGTTTACTGAAAACATTGTCGATATCAACATAAATACATAAACCATCATAACATGTCTCATATCATAAAGTAGTAATGACATCAGAGTACAATCCCATAGATCTAAAAATGCGGAATCCTGTGTAAGTGTGATGTGCAGCTACCGCGCCAACTCTTTCCCCTTCGCTGAAGAGGTACCTGAAACAAACTGAAAACTGTAAGCACGAAGCTTAGTGAGTTCCCCCATCATACCACATACCATACAATCATAAGACATACATACTGCCAGGCATATCTGAGTGCCCGACCTACCCCTTCGGTCCTCTCGACCGGTGACCTTGCCTAGCATATCTGGGTGCTGGCCTACCCCTTCGGTCCTCTCGACCAGTAACTGGGGACTATTTCACCCCTACCACTACCACTATCACATAACATCATAGCACATAGAACATAACAGGTAGCAGCAAACCTAGATGAATATCACAAAGACAATCATCTAGCATACAATTTCTACTAGTGGGCCGGCATTGTGGCCGTAGACCCAACGCTACTGGAAGGTAACTCACCTCGTAAACTGTGTGTCAAATCTCACAGAGGAAATCTCTAACAGCTGCTCCGATGGCTCCCGGCTATCAGAGACACATAACACTCAATCAGAGTCTATAACATTACTTGGGGTAAAATGAACATTTTACCCCTTGGTCCAATTTGAGAACATTCAAAAGACCCCACTCTAGTGCATTTAATCCAACGCACCCATGGCCCATCAAGACTCCCTATAGGTCCATAAATGGCACAATTATCCAAATTGGTCCGAACCCTCCAAATGGGCCTTTTTGTAATTTCTACTAAGACTTTAGCCCAAAACAAAAATAATCCCAAATGGCCCAACATGGCCCAAGGGCCCAACACTCCTAACTCCAGATTCCCAGGTCCAAAATTATGCTTTACAGTGGGCTATGAGGCCCAAAAGTCCAGGCCCAACCTTCTATGTCCCAAAAACCCAAGAAATCCACTCTGCATGCGTACGTGCGGCGTACCTGGCACGTACGCCCAGCATACGCTGGTCTTGACCACATACGGGAAGTTGACCCAGTACGCGCGGCGTACCAGGGAGTACGCCTAGCGTACTGGCCAACGTCCTTTAGACTTCATCCTTGACTTAACCCATTAAGCTTTTACGTCCAAAATTTAGATCCAGGTCCTTTTAGACCTCCTAGACCATAAAGTCACGAACATTATGTGATTGCATGCAAGGTTGGGGTAAAAACATGATTTTGATCCATTAATCCAACTTTATGACCATCTAGCCCTTGCATGGTTTTGGCTTAACCACCAAGATCCGATTTTTATGACTCTAGGTGCTTCCAAGAGTCCAAAAGGACAGCTCTTAAGCTCTGGAACCAACAATACTCAAACACTCCCAACTATGGGGCCCAAAAAGGCATAAAAACCCCAAATAAACAAATCTAAGCATACAATGGTCAAGTATGGAACTTGATACCTCAAAAGAGTCTGGAATGGTGTCAATCCCCTGGATCTACAAGCTCTTGGTGGATCCTTGCTCCTTCTTCAAGCTCCTTTCTTCTTTTCTCACTAGAGTAACACACAAACACTCTCAAAAGGCTTTTAGAACACAAAGTCACACAAAGGGAGCTAGGGTTTTCGTGGTGGCTGGGTAAGAGTGAAGGGAGGATGAACCAACAGGAGTTATGTTCATTATATAGGGAGCAACTATGATTTTTAGGGTTTAAGGATATGCACACGTACGTTGGGCGTACTCTTGGTACGCTGGGCGTACGTGCTTGACCTCCGCGCTTCCTTTCCACGAGTACGCTGGGCGTACTCGGCATTGTACGCCCCGCGTACGTAACTCCCTCAGCCCACAAGCACGGCCCAAAAATCAAGTCCAACCCACACCACAACACACCTCAATTATAATGAATCGCAATAATACCTGGAAAATCCCGGATGCTACATATATATATATATATATATATAATATATATATATATATATAGATATATATATATATATATAATATATATATATATATATTGTGTTAATATACAAACCATTACATATGTTATTCTTAATATATATATATATATATATATATATATATATATATATATATATATATATAAGAATAACATATGTAATGGGTTGTATATTAACACAAGTTTTCTTGTGTTTTACTTGTATTCCCCTCCCCCCCCCCCTAAACATAGAAAAATCTTGAAAACTATAGGGGTATGAACTCACCTCGAGTGTGTTCTTGGCTAAATAACGAAGTGATGGTGATGATCTTCAAGTTAGAACACTTGAAGGTGTACGTATCCTGATAGTCTTAAACACATAATAATATGTGTAAATTAGATGAACTAACAATGAAAGTGTTGTATAACACTAGATTATGTAAGGACTACTTACAAAGATTCCTAAAAATCAATTGAAAAATTTGTTTTCTGGGGATATTTGAAAGTGTTTATGGGCAAATATATGAAGATTTGAAGATGTTCTTGAGAGCAAATTGAAGGAAATTTTGAAGTGTAAATGAGAAATGTGATGGTGTTTTCGGCAATATAAATAGATAAGGTGTAAGAGTGATGTGATGTTTGCATTGGTATGTGGATTATATCACATTGGGAAAAGCACCATCGTTTAAAACCAAAGATTTCGGCCTAACACCACCAAAATCACATGTGATTTCAGTCCAAGTGAAACCGAGAACTCCAAGTCTTCGGTCTAGTGTGTCTTAGGTCCAAAGAGATTTCGGTCTAGGTGTGATCTTGGTCCTAAATGATTTCAGTTATATCATGATTTCGGTTTTGTGCCACCCACTAAAGGGTGATTTCAGTTCTTGGCATGATTTAAGACTCAAGGTTTTCGGTCCTAAAACCAAGAACCCTAAAAGCAAAGTGTAAAGTGTTTTGTTTTAACTATTTGACTTTTGTTGACTCAAAATTTACAGTTGTCACAGTTGCAATTGCTTACATCAGGACAACTAACCTAATTCGCATCAAAGTAAGCTGTAATGGAAGGAGCAGCAGTGTCTGTATAAGCATGCAACTTGAGATCAATATTACGTTGTAACCGCAAGCCATAAGAGTATGTACCCTGAAGGTAGTGTAATGTACGCTTGACTGCTAACTACTGGTTCTTGGTTGGTGAGTGCAGAAACTGGCAGACCTTGTTTACTGCGAAAGTGATGTTGGGTCTTGAAAGTGTAACATACGGAAGTGCACCAACAATTTGTCTATATTGAACAAGTTTTTCAAAAGCCTTGTTGTCACCAATAGCAAGATTATCCTTTGTTTTCATTGGAGATGGGACTAGTTTGGACTCAGAGAGAATCGCACATTGAAGTAACTCGAGAATATACTTCCGTTTAGACAGGATTATGGAATCAGGTCGATGGTGAATTTCGATACCCAAGAAATACGATAAAGCACCCAAGTATTGAACTGCAAAAGATTTACTAAGGTTGTGTACCACCTGATTAATTGCCTGAGAAATATTACCTATCAAAACAATGTCATCAACATAGACAAGCATGTACAATATATTAGACCTTGATGAATAAATGAAAAGTGATGGGTCAGTTTGGGATCCTCGAAAACCAAGTATCAAGAGAACGGTGGAGAGACGATTAAATCAGACCCTGGAGGCCTGTTTGAGGCCGTATAGAGACTTCTATAAAAGACAAACATGATCCGGTTTGGTTGGATCAACAAAGCCTTGTAGTTGCTGCAGGTATACAGTTTCTTTTAGATCCCCATGTAAAAATGTGTTTTGAATATCAAGCTATCGTAACGGCCATTTTTGTGCAACAGCTAAGGAAAGAACAACACGAATTGTCGTTGCTTTAACAACCGGGCTAAAAGTTTCTCGATAATCAATACTCGATTGTTGTCTAAATCCCTTGGTAATGAGACGCGCCTTGTATCATTTTACTGTGTCAGTCTGATCTGTTTTTAGTTTGTACACCCATTTGCAGTCCACAACATTCATATGCATGGTTCATGGCACAAGTGACCAGGTTCCATTTTTCTTCAAGGCGAAATATTCCTCACACATGGTTGACCTCCAATGGGGATGAGAATTAGCAATGGTAAATTTTGGAGGTTCAGTATCATGATAGTTGGTAGTTGTATGAAAAGATTCGAACGGTTTGGTTTTTTTTGGATGAGGTCGTAAGTTGGGTAGTCTGGTTGAGACCGGTGGAGGTGGTGGCTCGGCTTCAGAAACAGAGGTTGTTTTGTTTCGGTGTTGGTATGTATGGATGAGGGGAGGTTTTGGAAGTGTCTGTGGCTGGACAGGTGGTGGAGATTGTGTAGAAAGTTGCGGTTGTGGGGAGATTTTGGTTGTAGAGTAGGAGTAACAGGAGGGCCAGGTAGTGGGACAGGATTGGGATATGAGGAAATATAGGGTTCGGGAATAGGTTGGGATTGAGCGTTTGGTTATGTATAGAAGGGAAAAGTGGTTTCATAAAAACGCACATGACGAACGATATAGATACATTCAGTCTGGGGTTCAAAGCATCGATATCCATGATGGGAAGTGTTGTACCTTAAAAAGACACATGGAGTAGAGAGAGAATCCATTTTGTTTTTGTTGTAAGGACGGAGATGGGGGTAACACCGATAGCCAAAAACACGAAGGAAAGAAAAATCAGGTTTGTGTCGGAAGATATGTTCAAACCGAGAGGTGTTATGAGTATTACGAGAGGGCATCCGATTAATGAGATATACTACAGTTTCAAATGCAAAGTGCCAAAATCTTTGGGAAACATGAGATTGGATAAGAAGGGTTAGAGCGGTTTCCATCACATGGCAATGGCGTCGTTTAACAAATACATTTTGTTCACTTGTATATGGATATGAAAGTCTATGAATGATACCAAGAGAGGAGAAAAATGGGTAGAGATTTCAAAACTCCCCGCCCCAATCGATTTGAATAGTTTTGAGTTTTGTTTGAAATTGTCGTTTTTTCATGGAAAAGAAACACTTAAAAGTGGGAAAGACATTAGATTTCAATTTTAAAGTAAATAACCACATAAAACTAGAATAGTGATCAACACATAGAAGAAAATAAAGATGATCATCAATAGAGGTAACAGGGGAGGACCCCAAACATCACAAAAAACAAGATCCAAAATATGTGAACTCTTATAAGAGGTAGTAGATAACAAATGTAATTTAGATGATTTTTCAACAAAACATGAGTCACAAATAGAACTAGAATATTTATTTAATAAAGGTAAATTGTATGTAGATATCATACACTGTAAAAGTTGAGGATGAGGATGCCCAAGTCATTGATGCCAAGTCTGGGAAGAAGCACAAACATCAGAAAAAAAAACAAGTTTTCGAAGTGGTTGAATTTGGGGTAGCTTGATTGAGTAGAGCCCTCCATTACTTGGACCCGTGAGGAGGGTAGTGTGAGTTTCCGTGTCCTTTATATAAAAAAAAGAAGAGTGAAATTCAAAGTAAACATGACTGTCAGTGCAAAATTTTTGAACAGAGATAAGATTTTGTTTTATATCAGGGACGTGAAGGATATTTGTTACAGAAAAGGTTTTATTGAGTGAGTAAAGTTTAGATGAACCTATATGAAGAATGGGTAAGCCTTTACCATTGCCTACATGGAGGTTATCCTCGCCATAGTAGGGCTCGGAATTGTCAAAGCAAGATTGATCATGCGTAACAAGATGATTGGATCCTGTATCAGTGAGATGCTTGTGAGTGTAAGGGTCGAATTGTTGTCATTAGTCGAAATGTATTTTGAACTCTTTGAATGTTTTGTAATCTATTTTACTGAGGCGCTTTTATTCGAAGCCTAAGTGTCTATGCCTTAGTATATTTTTTGTACGCTTTCAGTTCCCTATAAATAGGGATATTTACTAGAGTTAGATAAGAGTTTTTTACAGACCTGTCTTTGTACTCTGTAAAGATTCGAAAGCGTAATAGAGCTGAAACAAGATCATATTTACATCTGGTGTTCAATCTTGCATTCTTAATTGATTTCATACTCTGATTCGTTTTATACTTGATTCTTTGATTCATCAATTGGTATCAGAGCAGGAATCACATCTGTGATCTGATTTTCATCCATTCAAAAAGTTTTTGAATCAAATTTTTGGTTCAAAAGTTTCCGCACTTTTTGATCGTGAAAAATTTGTCTAGATTTTAGTTTGTGATTTGATTCTGCATTTGAATTGTTGAATCGAGTGTTTTTCTTGCAATTCCGATTTGAATCAACTAGTTTGTTTTCAAATTTCCAAATCTTCTTAAAAATTTTCAAATTCAGCTTCTGTACAACAATAGCGAGTTTCAATCTCAATTCGATGACTTCGTTTTCTCATCTGTTAGGATCATCAACCAAAATTCCAATGCTAATCCCTAAATATTATGATCAGTGGGCTGATCGTATGCAGGATTATCTGAATGGTCTTGATGAAGAATTATGGTCATGTATCACTGGAAATGTCAATGTTCCAGTGAATGTTCAACCAATTGGATCATCTTCTACAAGTTCTGAAGTTGATAATCAAATTGATCGTCTGAAGAAACTGGAGAAGAGGTGTATGAGAGAATTGCGAGGAGCTTTACCTCCAGTTGTGTACAATTATATAAGGAGTTGTACAACTGCAAAGGAAATCTGGAACAATCTGAAAGATAAGTTTCAAGGAAGTGAGAAGACGAAAATCAATTCAGTCAAACAGTGTTGTTGAGCTGAAAGATTTCAGACAAAAAGAAGGTGAAACAATTGAAGTCTACTATGATCGACTGAACGAATTAATCTATCGTTGTAATCACTATGGAATTACCAGGATTTCAATGGAATTCAATCTCATCTTTGTGATGGGTCTTCGAAAAGAATGGAGAAGCGTAAGTATGATGGTGTAGAATCAGCAAAGTTTTGATACATCAACTCTCAATGATTTGTACAATCAGTTGAAGACACACGAAACTGAGGTAAATGAAATTGTTGAAGAGACGAAGCTAAATTTGGGAGGTCTATTGGCACTTGTGTCAAAGATATCTAAGAAAGAAGCAGAAAATGGTGATTCTGAGGAAGAAGAAGGATTCATCATGAATTCGGATGATGAGGCAATAGCTTTTTACTCGAATAATCGTGTTAAGAAGTTTTTTAAAAAACCGTTCAATCCGAAGACTAAGCTTGCTGAGGTAAAAGGAAGTGCTGTGAGTAAAACTGCTGATGAGGAGAAAAAGAAAATTGAGAAGAAAGATTCGAAAATGTCTGAAGGAAAGATCGAGAAAAGCTGAAAGGTGATGCTGGTATAGATTGTCATTATTGCAACGGAGCTAATCATCTTGCGAATGATTGTATGCTTCGGAAGAAGGATGAGAGGAAGAATAAAGTTAAAGATGAGGCGTATTATGCAGAAAGGCTTGAGGAGGTTCGTGCGAAAGCCAAAAACTTGTCATTGGTTGCAAAAGGTGAACATGAAGATGAAGATGGAACGTATCAAATCTGGTCATCCGGATCAGACGATGAAGAAATGAGGAATCCAACACATGGAGCAATGTATGCGAAAATGGAGGAGGACTCAGATGACGAGGAATTCGAAGTGAAAGGACAATGCTTCGTATCCAAGACAGCAGACAAATCTCCAATGACAACAAAGGTACGTAAAATTCTCGAATCTTTTAATATTCCTACACATGCTTATGATTCTGAACTAATATCCTTTGATGAGACAGTTACTTATTTTGATTCAATTGTTGTGTCTGCTAGCAATGAGGCCAACAAGTTGTCAATGGAGTTGTTAGAGACCAAAAAGCGATTAGACATGAAAATAAGTAAAATTGATTGTTTGGAATTACAAATAAAAAATATAATGTGTGATAGGGATACTTTGTCAAGTGAAGTCAAACTTTTGCTAGCTCAAAGAAACATTTATTGTAATTCAGCTAAAAGACTTTATGGAAAATTAACTGATTTACATAATTCATGTGAAATAAGTAAAGAGCAACATAGAAAATTACTACCTTTTCTAGCATACGAAAGAGCTAAGGTAGATAATATTTCGTATGATTGTGAGCAAATAATAGCTGATTTTGACAAGATTCCTGATGATAGATATAAATATGGAATTGTCAAAATTGATGAATGTCTTGATGCAAATGAATTAGTTAACATAGTAAATGATACTTTGACTAAATCTGAACAAATTCAAATTTTGAAAAAGACTGAGAATTCAACATCTGATTCTCAATCTAATTTTGCTGATATTGAAGATAATTCTGACAATATTAGTGAAATTAGTGAACTTGAGGATGTTGATTGTTCCCGGTTGTCTGTTGTTAATGTTGCATCAACATTTAAAGGGAAAGAAAAAGTGAAGGATTTGATGGTTGAGAAAGAAACTGATATACCTTCAACTTCGAAAGTTTGTGATATGAACTTCGTGGATCTCAAAGACAGTCAAACTGATGATAGCGATGATGAATATGAAGAGACAATTTCGAAGGGAAAGAAATCTTCAAAGGAAGAAGAAACTCCACGGATAGTGGTTGATCAAGTGTATG